AAGGAAATCTGTAAAGGACTAAAAGACTGATGTGATGCACTTATAACAATGGAATTTCAACTTGACATAAAAAGAATTTAAAAATCACTAGGAAAAAGACCATATATTTAAAATTGACAAAACATGAAAGATGCTCAAATGGTAAAAAGTTGCTTACCTTCACCATTCATGATTGAAATACATATTAATGACAATGAAGTACCTCTACATTCTACTAGAATGGCTACAATTTATTTTTTTTAACTTTATTGAAAATGAATAATTACATATCATATTAAAAATTGCAGACAAATATTGAAATGTGAAAGATATAAGATATAGGAGAGTGATTTTTAGAGAACTATTTCTGAAATGAATACATATCATGAGATTAATAGATTATACACCATAAATAAATTATATACAAACTTAAATGAATATAACAATAAAAGCTGTCCAAAATAAAAATGAAGAAGAAATCACAGTCATATAATATCTCACTCTGTGTCAAAATGAAGAATCTTATATTCATATAATTAGAATTCTCAAAGTAGAAAGGGGTAGGCAATAAATATTTAAAGATTTAAAATTTCTGAATTTAGTTGAACTTATAATACATTTCCAAAAAAATGAACTTTTTACATAAGAAATTTGAATAAAATCATACCAAGATACACAAAAATGAAATTGTCCAAAAATTATTGTAAAGAAAAAATCATTAAAGCACAGACATAAAAAAATTAGCTATGGAAGAACAAAATTAAATAGCATCTTATTCCACATTAGAAAGAAAGAAAAAAAAAAGACCAAGTGTGTAAAAAACTAGACTAATTAAAGGACTGAAAGAAAGAAAAAAATCTATCCTCTCTGAATTTTATACTTAGCAAACATACCTTTGAAAACTAAAAAGAAAATATTTAGAATGACTACAATTTAAAAAGATAGAAAATATCAAGTGTTGGTGAGATATGGAGCAACTGAAACTGTCCTATACCACTGGAAAAGTGTATAAACTCTTATAGTCAGTTTGGAAATCTGACAGTGTGCATTAAAACGCCAACATTTACATAGTATTACCCAGCAATTCAATCCCTAGCACAAACCCAACAGAGAGTATACACATGGTTACTAAAAAAATACTGTAGAATATTCATAGCTGTACTATTTAAAATGGCTCCAAATTGTAAGTTATTTTGATGCCCATCTGTAGTAGAATGAGTAAATGTATGTATACACATTTATGTGTACACACACACGTATTACAACTATCTACATATACACACCTATATGTTTTATATACATATAAACATATATACACACATAATAAAACATTAAAACAATTTTTGTATTCCATACACACAATAATACCTTATCTATATACAAGATGGATGAATCTTGTCAAACTAATTTGGAACATAAAAGCCAGTTATAAAAGAACACATAATTACATGATTGCACAAAGTTCAAAAACAGATTAAACTAGTCTCTGAGGTACATCTCAGAGAGAAAGGTGATAACTAAAAGGAAGTACAAAAAGATTTCTTAATGTTTTCTTGTGTTTTTTATTGTTAGTGTTCTCTGTTTCTTGATTGGGATACAGATTACATAAAGCTTAGCCATGACATGTGACCATTTCTATGTATGCTTCATTAAAACCATATATTTAATAAATACATAGTAAATAAAAAGAAAAGCACAGGTAATGTAAAAAGAAAAATTCTAAGAATCAGAGGAAATGTTACAAATAAAAAATACACTAGTGGAAATGAAGCATGTCTTTGATAACCTCAGCAACAAATTGCATAATGCTAAGGAAAAATTGTAACCTAAAAGAAATATAAATAGAATGTTCCAAAACTGATGTATAAAGAGAAAAAAGAATAAAAAGAGGGGGCCAGGGACATGGCTCAGTAGAATAAGTGCTTCCCTGGCAAGTGCAAGGGCCTGAGTTCAATCCCCGGTTCTGCCAAGGGAAAAACAACAACAACAACAACAACAACAACAATAACAACAACAAAAAAACCGACTAAAGAAAGAACAGAATATTTAAGAAATGTGAGGTAATTAATGAAGTTACAATATGTGCAAAATGGAAATGCCAGGAGGTGAAAAAAGTGGAAATAAAACAGAAGAAATGCCTGAAACACTATTGCTTCAAAAATAATGACTGAGAATTTCTCCAAACCAGTGAAAATATCACACCATAGCTATATCTACGAAATTCAGAGAATACCAAGTAGCGTCTGTAACAAAAGTTTTATCAGGAGGTATATTATATTAAAACTGAATAAAATTAAAGACAAAAACATCTTTAAGAAAATAAAAACCTTACCTATAGAACAAAGATAATACTTTTCTCTTGTAACCATGTAAGCAAGACAGAAAAGAGAATGATATTTAAAATGTTAAGAAAAATCACCAATCGTGATCAATTTTACGTATTAACTTGATTGGGCTAAGAGATGCCATGATAGTTAGCGAATACATATTTATGATTTGTATGTGAGGGAGTTTCTAAGAGAGATTAGTATTTTAATTAGTAGGCTAAGAAAAGAAGATCTACCCACATTAATGTGAAGAGGCATCATCCAATCTCCTGAATGGAACAAAAAAGATAAGAGAAGGGAAAATACACTTTTTCTTTTAAGATAAGATTTTTTTTCCTCGAATATCTGTCCTTAGATAACAGAGCACCTAATTCTCAGGACATCAGGGATGTGAGGGCGATCTGGCTGTGACATCTGTCACCCCATTGATCACCAGGGTTGATTCGGCTGATCTGGCTGGCTAGGCGGGTGTCCCCTTCCTCCCTCAACGATCCATGTGCGTCCCTCCCGAAGCTGCGCGCTCGGTCGAAGAGAACGACCACCCCCGATAGAGGAGGACCGTTCCTCGGTCAAGGGTATACGAGTAGCTGCGCTCCCCTGCTAGAACCTCCAAACAAGCTCTCAGGACATCACACCCTGAGAGTTACTTTTACCAGTCCTCTCCCCGCGCCTGGTTCTTAGGCATTTGGACTTGGAATGAACTGCAACACTGGCTTTTTTGGTTTTCTAGCCTGCAGATGGCAGGTATCGGGACTTCCTGGACACAATGATCTTTAAACTAATCCTGCAATCAGTCTGCCCATCTGTCCGTCCGTCTGTCCATCCATCCATCTTGTTTCTGTTTCTTTAGAGAACACTGATGAACACACCCACCTAGATTTCTGAGCCCTGGGAAATTATCCTATAAAAATGCAGGAAAAATGAAAACTTTCTGTCTCAGTGACTCTTCTCTCATCACTGGGATAAATACTGATACTCAAAATGAAGGAAGGAAACATTTATTTAGCTCATAGTTACTGGAGGTTTCCATCCATACTCAGCTGGCTCCAAGGCAAAGGGACACATGGCAGAGAGCAGCCTTTCATGACTGCAGCAAAGAGCAGAGAGCAAGGGGAGGAGGAGCAGCAGTAATGGCTACAGAAAGCCAGTCTGTCGCCCTTAAGTTGCATTCAGGTTGTAAGTACTCACACCCATAATCCCAGCAGCACACACACCCATAATACCAGGGGATAATGAATTAATCACAAACTCTAGAAGTCCTCCCCATGACTGTGTGAGGCTGTGGGGGGACAATTAGACACAAGCCATAACACTTTCTTAGACAGACAAAAATTGAGAGGGAGTTTGTTATCAGTAGATTTGCCTTGCAAGAAATGTTATGGGATATTCTTCAGAGAGAAGAAAAAGGAACAGGTAAATCTTGAATCTATGGTAATAAAGAATTTGCAATAAAGACAGAATAAATAAAAGTAAAAATGAAACTTTTTTATTCTTAATTTATAGTTGCTGAAAATAATAGCAATATTTTCTAGTGATTATAGATTACGGGTGAATGAAGTGAATGACAATAATATCATAAGCATCAGAAGGGAGGTATTAGGAATACTTCATTATAGGATATTTATCCATGTAGTCATATAGTTTTAGATGATACTGGACTTTGGATTGGTTGCAGATTTGCTTACAATTGTTATCCACATTGTGAGAGACAGATGCAAATTAAAGTAAAATATTGACCATTATTTCTTTATTTTCAGGATTTTGCTTCTTTAAAGTGCTTTTCTTTTATTTTAACCATTTATTTATTTATTTATTCACTTAAGCAAGTTAATAAGAATGAAGATAATTTTGATGTGACAATGTATTGCTATCATCATTTTTCTACTTTTTGCAATTTTAAGATAACACAGGTGAAAACATTCCACTATTCCAAGCCAGCCACAAGAAAATGGAGAGCTTTGTCAAATTCAGTGGCTAAGTAAATAATTTAAATTATACAAAGTTAAATTTGATTTAATAAATTGAAAGGACAGACTCCTTACTTTTGTCAAAGGAAGCAGAAAACTATGAGAGATAATACAACTTGTGTGAACAAACGTGAAAGGCACATCTGGGAAATCTTATCTAATAATAGCCTAATAAAAGGAATATGTTAAGAACCATAGTAATACACTCAGTTTAACAAGCAGCTTTGGGGCAGGGGAGATGGCTCATTGGAATAAGTGCTTCTCTGGCGAGCTCAAGGGCCTGAGTTCAATCCCCAGTTCCGCCAAAAAACAAAACAAACAACAACAACAAACCCAATAAAAAAAAACCCAAAACAAGCAGCTTCTCTTGGTATCATGTTTATAGGGTGGAGGGTCAACACACTTTGCTGAGAAAATAAGTGATCAAATTAACTGTATTCTCCCCGTGGAGAAGAAGGATGTATAAATTAAATATTTTAACTTGATGTAGTAAAGCTCCAAATTTAATTCACTCCAGTTACTTCCTTGTAAAGTTTTGAGCTTAATTCATATTTGCATGGGAAATGAGGTAACAAAGGATGAAAACAGATTTTACTAAGTACACGTAATGAGAGCTTCATCTTTAGAACGGGCCAAACTTTCATGTAAAAAAAAGAAAAAAAGGAGTAGCTAAACACATGTACCTCTCCTCCTTATGTTTAGTGCAATGTAGAAAATAGACATTTACCTTATGAAATCTTCTTCTTCTTCTCTTTTTGGCCTCAGCTGTTTGGGCTGAGCCATATTAATCCAGTTTGGTAATGATTTCAAAAGTCTACTGATATCATCATCTTTTGCCCAAGATGCACTGATGACAAGTTTTTCTTCTGATTGTACAATGCTCCTAAAACAGTCAATAGGAAAGACTTAGCATAATATCTGGTATTCAGTTAGCATTTCTTACCTACCTTCTCTTCAGGAAAATAATATCACCTCCATCTCCTTTATTAACTCAATCCATTATCTGGCTTGAAAGTGGTGGCATTCATGAATAAGTCACATTACTGGGGAACAGTTTTCTAGATTTCATTCTGTTTTCTAACTGTTGAGTAATCATGAAAGCTGCTAATTAATTAGTCCTTCTTATGTTAGTTAATCCCACAACATAAATAAAAATGTATGGTAGGTTTTGGGGGAGGTCTTTCAAAAAAAAAGTTCAATAAATATGAAATTGGGTAATCATTTTACAATTTTGCTAACTGACAACACACATGGTACTTGCAAAGTGACACAGGTGGTACAAAAGCTTGTTCTTTGTCTTCTTGGTTTAAATTATCAATTAGTTCTACCTGCAGGCATTTTCTGAACTGTAGGTATCTATCTCTCTATTCAAAGCAAATCTACTGGCATAAAGAAATCCTCTGCCACAAATGTCAGGCAGAAAAAGCCTTTGATTATGTCGCTCTCCAGTGGTCTCTGGCTAGTCATCTAGAGCTGGCAGGCTTCAAGCCCCGTAATAGGGCCCAGGGGTTCACTATTTATTTACACTGCTCTTATAAGAATATATGTGTAAATTCACCTCACATGTTCAATTTCAATTTCATTAAAAATCTCTTTCTCTTCAACATTTCCATCACTATAACCGATTTTGATGGTCTAAAAATCCTCATCAGCAATACAAGTGACATGAATGACATTTATTTATGAAGACAATGCTGATTAGCTGAAGACAACCAAGGCTCCAAGGGATTTCTGCTAGCACAGGCACAGCCAAGAGTGTCTTTCACGATGAGGGTCACAGTGAGGTGCATTGAGAATTTTCAAACAAATATATACAACATATATAATGAAAACTACTTGGCTCTATACACTACTTAATGTTTACAGAGAAGTTGAAGCCTATACACTGACTCAGTACAGCCCAACTGTATGTAATATGGCTTCATATTGTAAGGAACAATACTACCCTCATTCTCTTAAAATAAACTAAAACAAATGAATCATGGATAATTTTTAGGATTCTTCTAAGACACTAAAAGCAAATGTTTTCTAACTATAATTTTATCCTCCAAAGTAAAAAAAAAAATTGACTATCAAAATATCTTCCTTTCATTCTCTCAGATTGCTCTCACTGGTATCTTCCACTCCCCCCGCTTTTTTTTTTTTTTTCATGGCTGGTTCAGCACACCCTGAGGGCATAGCTGGCATGGCATGTGGTGCCAGGGATCAAACTGTGGTGTATGTGCTTGCTTAGGTGTGCCTAAGTAGGAGATTTAGACTGCTGAGCCACCTCACCAGCCTCTTTGGCATTCTTTCATGTGTCGTCTCCCATCAGCTTCATCTCCCCATATCCCTTGGGTTTTTTTTTTTTTTTTTGGTTTAATGTTATTTTGCTATCTCCTCATTGCTTATCCTCCAAATCCTTGCTAAGTGACAGAGGAAGGAGAGGATCTATTATGGAGTTTTACATATCTTTCACCTCCAACATCTTACCTCCACTCAAATCTGCTTCATCTTTATCCACTTCCAGTAATCTCCAATAATTCCCTTGATTTCCTGAATTTTTAGTATTTTTTCAATACTTCTCTAATTTCCAATCAATTTTCAAAACAATGAATAAATGAGCAAAGGACTCTTTTCCTTACTTCTAATATTCCTTTCTACCAAAACTGTTCTCTTCCATTCAAAACCTTCATTAAACAAGTAGCCTTAGAATCTAGCTTTCCAGTCCCTTTCACATTTTCTGCAAAAAGGTCTCTCCTCCCTGTCTTGCAGATGTTAAAAATGCCAGTTCCTATTTGACCTCTAGATATGGTATGATACCTCTGTTAGCCTTTCCACTTCAACATTTTTTACTGCTTTTAATTCATCTTTCATTTATAGCATCAGTGAATTTTCTGTCTTCTTTTTGAGTTTGATTACCTATCTGAAATACCTCCTAAGTTAAAAACTTTTATCTAATATGCATTTGACAAGAGTAGCAAAAGGGCTTCCCACATCTTTGTATTCCACATTTTTTGACAGGAAAATTATATTATTATACTTTTATAATATTAATATTATCTATTTATATATTATAAATATGTGTATCAATACCCTTGTATTCAACTTTGTACATTAGAATCACTTCAGGAAGCTGTTAAAAAAAGTAGATGTCCTGACCACACTCAAGATCAAGGAAATCAGAATCTTGGGGTGGTGGCCAAGGGGGAGCCATTATAATTTTTTAGTTTCCCATGTGATCCAACAATGCGGTCAAGTATGACAACTCCCGCCTTACACATAGCTTTACTCTCACTGATCTTGCTACACATTTTTACACGCTAAATCCCAAACTAGATGAGTACTCTCAGGGTGACATTGATTTTTTATTAGTTTTTGTGTGCCTGGTGCCTAGTATAACAAGTGATAGTATTTGGAAGGTGAATAAGAATGAAACTAGGGATGCAAATAAACTGTTCACTATTACCAATGAAGGGGTCAGAGAGAGGCAAAAAGATAAGGTAAGGGTATTATCAATGGTTTCCTAATGAAGCCTATTTTTGCCCCTGGAAAGATAGTTCAGTGAACTAAGCACCTGCTGAGGCAAGCACAGGGGCTGGGTTTGATCCCCAGCACCACATGCCATGCCAGACCCGCCAATGGACACAGTGAGCTGGCCACCTAGACTGGTTGTGGGGAGGCTGCAAACAGGAGGATCACTGTGAGTCTGAGCTGTATAGTGAGTCCCTGTACCAAATAAATAAAAAACCCTACTCTTTTCTATAATTAATACACACTAATAAGAAGGCTTCAATTTTAGTCTAGAAAACTTATTAAACAAAAATCATATTAGGCAATTAGATTTTCTGTTTTTTTTTTCACTAAATGACACAGATGAGCTATTAAGTCCTTTGGTATTGCACCATATCACAGATAACTATGTTTTTCTAAACTTAATTTGGATCAAAATAATGAATAAATTCAAACGTGTTCCCTTCTGAAAAACATTCAGTAGAAAAAATTCCTGACTCATAAAACAAATGAACCAAAAAGTCATTGCTGACAGGTCTACCTCTTCCTATGTGGTGTATTATTGAAATGCATGAAAAATTCATTTTCCTTGTAGAGTTTATTGGCTATGGCAATACACTCTACCTCTGGAAAGGAAATGAGCAAGATATTATCACCTATGACTTTTATACTTACAAAAGTATACTTTTATTCTTATCACCTATGACTTCACAATTAGCACTTTATCTTACACAATGGGGCGGGAAGATGACAGTCTGTGGATCAAATCTCTTCATATGCCTTGTAAGCTAAGAAGAGTATTGATATGTTTAACTGGTTTATAAAAAATTAAAGGCAAATACAAATTTCTGAACGGAGAAATTAAAATTTAAATTTCAATATCCATACCCAGAAAAAACTTCAGTTGAGTGTTCAGCTCTTTTAATCATATTTTAGTTAAATTCTGCTCTTCAGATTTAGAAGCTTAAATTCAAGTCATTTTTCCAGCATCTAAATCTTTAAAAAAATATATTTGATTGTTCCCAGATCTCATTATGCAGCTTGGACTTGTGCTGATCCTTCTGCTTTCAGCCTCGCCAGCACTGGGATTACAGGCTGAGGCCACCAGGCCTGGGACTCTGGCCCACTCAGCGGGACTGGTGCAGCATGGTGCTAGGGACTGAACCACACTCCCTGTGCTTGCCTAAGCCTGCATAAACAGGTGTTTTAGTTCACTGAGCTATCTCGCCAGCCCAAGCATCTAAATCTTAGAGCCAGATAAAGTTTGTGGGAGGGTTCAGTAAACAATTGAGTCTATGAATGTAAGGTGGGAGTGTACAATTCAGGGACTACAAATTTCCATCTTAGTGTATGACAGAATAAAACAAAAATTAATTTGGTGGTATACTATACTATGTTAAAGAGAACCATATTATTATGTATTATGTAAATAGTGGCTTAGCTTAAAAAAATTCAACATACTAATATTCATAGATTCCATTTTTAAAAGAATAGTAATTCTGATTAAATATTGCCACATAATTCTCTAACAAATAAAAATATTAATTTATATTGGAGTGAATATCAATCTCCAAAACAATTCCAAATATTCTGCGCAAGCTGGGGAGATAGCTCAGTAGAATAAGCGCTTACCTCGCAAATGCAAGGTTCTGAGTTCAATCCCTGGTACTGCAAAAAAAAAAAAAAAAAAAAAAAGGATTTTGAGCCGGCCAAATAGCTCAGCAAATTAAAACACCTGCAAGCCAGTGCAGGGGCCTGGGGTTCAATCCCTGGGCCTGCCAGGCTGGCTCTGCCCCCATGGCACGCTGAGATGGCAACTGAGACTGGGCGTAGTGGCGCGTGCCTGTAATCCCAGTACTTGGGAGGCTGTAAACAGCAGAATCACTGAGTCTGATCTAGTAGTGAGACCCTGAACACCCTGTAGACTCTTCCCTAAAATTTAAAAAAAAAAAAGAAATCTATGCAAAACACTGGTACTCATCAGCATAAAATTACTCTAACTGATCTTTTTTTCCATTTCAGTGGCAAAGTTTCCAAACTATCCAATTATCCTGATCAGTTTATTTTTATTATTAGCAAGAGCAGTAGCATTTCTCTTTTTTTTTTTTTTTTCAGAACTGGGGATTGAACTCAGGCCCTTGTGCTTGCCAGGGAAGCGCTTATTCTACTGAGCCATCTTCCCGGCCCCTTGGCAGTAGCATTTTTGAGACAGGGTCTTGCTATATACTTCAACCTGGTCTTGAGTCCACTACATACCCCAGGCTGGCTTCAAACTTGAGGTGGTCCTCCTGCCTCAACCTTCTGTGCTAGGATCACAGGCATGTGTCACCACACCCGGTTCCCTTATTAGTTTTTTATTTTGTGATAAACAGGATCATATGAGTTATGAAA